AATAAGGTTTGTGGCCGCTCTTATACGCACAAATGCACACGTTATGTGAACAGCCAAACTGTTTCCCCAGGGCTTATTTGCACAGTGTTGAGTAATACAGGGTGCGTTCAAAGCTACCAAAACCCGTGACCACTACTCAAATATTACGCACTGAGCTGACACCGGAGGGGCGTAATGACCCAAGTGCCACTCAGGCTGAAGGAGGGATTACCTCATTCAAAAGAAGGTGATGCTCCAAATAAAACCCCACACGCTCAATTTCCTCTCCCCCTCACACACACACATACACACACACACACACACACACACACACACCCACACCATCAGACTCAGTAAGAGCTGTGTGGTTCTGGCGGTCAGCATGTTGTGCAACTGCTGTGCTCACTTTCTCCCTCCTGTGTTCTTCCCTCAATCTCTTATGTAGGTGGAGAACAAGGTGTACACACAGGTCAACGGTCAATGGAGCCCTGTGTTGTCTGGAAGTGATACCTTAGCAATGTTCGGGTCTGTTTGTGTAACTTTTAAGAGTTTGCTTAATGTTTGCAGGTGCATGTCTTTTTACTGCAAATCTGTAAAATCCGTTAATACTCATATGTCTAGACGACAGATTGAATAATAAACCACAGATGTATAAATTTAGTTTATTTTTAGTGTGACTTTCTTCCTCTCAAGTGCTGGGAAATCATTCTTGCTGTAAAAGGGAAGTTTCCAACATTTGCTTGCAGAATTTACAAGACGAGAGTTTGGTAAAGGAAGATGGCTGCGGTTGAATAACAGCTGACCACCCATGTGGGTTCATGGTAAGAGTCAGGAATGATTATGGTTGTGGCCTTGTCAGAATTGGATGAATCAGCTAAAATATGTGGTAAGGTTTTAAGTGCAGTTCTCTAGAAAAATCTGTGGTTATAACCAAACTATCTAAGGACCATGGACCTCAGTTGTTGTTGAACCATTTGGTGTTGCTGGCATTATGCTGTGATGTTCAGGTGATGATTCCTCCACTCCAGTAGCAGCTCAAATTTCCACCACAAAAACAACCGCCTCCTCTTTCCCTCCATGACACAGAATCCTCACACTTTGGTGTACCTATAATCTCTCTGTGGCACGTGGTTTAGGAAATGCCTGGCAGTCTGGATCCACACATGTACCGCTTAAGGGAAGTGGAGGCAGAGCACCTTCAACCTCACCTCCCCAGCACTGTTGATTTCATTAGCGGGTAGACGGAGCAGTTAGGGAAGTGTGTGCTTGGCTTGCACTCAGCCGTGGTGTCTGTGTCTCTTCTGCCTGTCTGAGCAGGCCACTTGAGATGCTGCTGAGTTTGGGTTTGGATGTTGTTGAGTCTGCTTTGGCGGGCCCGAAGGCTTCGCAGATCAACATTTAGGCTCTGTTCGAATGGCATCCGAGAAAGACTGCAAGCTCCGGGTTTGGTTTGTGTCTCAGATTACCAGGTGGTTTGGAGAAAGATCTTTAAGGTGTACTGTGCGTGGGAAAGTGGGATGTCTGTTTATGTTCATTATGTGCACTTGAGTCTCTGTGTTTCATGTGGGCTTGGATGGATTTCTAAACGGGCGTACTGTTCGGAGGGCCCCTGAGCCAGAGCCTCTGTTTGAAGTGACTGTTACCATTTCTTGTTGGGAAGTCACAGAGGTGTCCTGATTGTTCTTTTGTTGTTGTCTTTTTGCTCCTCAGACTTATCACCTTTTAATATTGAGTATCTGCAAAACAAATACAATTCTATATTGTTTTCCTTCATAATGCAGTTGCACAGCATATTGAGGCTACATTAAAATATAGTTAAATCAATTACACAGAAAAGCAGTTCTCCTTGAAGTAGAAACTTCATCTTAGGCTGTATTGTTCCTAAAATATTTTACAGTGTGCTGTAGTATTTTGTATCATATGTGTGCAGAGAGAGGGCGTCATTGGGGCTCAAGAGTCAGACAGCTACTCAATGGGAACAAAATACTGGACCAGCAGCAGTACTTGAGAGTATGGTCCACCTGCAAAATGTCACTGAAAGAGACTCAAAATGACTACAAAGAGACATAAAATGACTTCAAAGACACTCAAACTGACCAAAGAGATGCTTAATGATTACAATGAGGTGCAAACCAACTGCAGAGAGACAAAACAACTACAAACAGACACAAAATGACTACAAGGTGATGTAAAATGACCCATAGGAGATGCAAAAAAACAACCAAAAATAGACACAAAGCAGCTACAAAGAGACTCTCTTTCAGTCTGGATGTCTTGCTCCTGTATAGAATGGGTGGGTGGCCTTTTACATGTCTGTGCCCAGGGGCCCATTTTCTCATAATCTGTCCATGGATGTGGTCATCAGACATTGCACTCAGTTATTTGACAGCTGTTTGGATTGAGAACAGCAAAGGGACTACATGAAATGTCATGAAGGAGTTGGCTGTGCCCTTTTATAGCCGAGGGTCAGACTCTCCCCTATTTCCTCATTAACGGTACTTTTCTGTCCTGCTGTTTCTTTCTTTGTGTATTTTTGGATCTGTTACTGTACTGTGTGTGGTGATTTCTTTTTTCAGCTAAATCTGTTTTATATAAAGTGTCACTCTGCCTGCCAGACAAGGCTCTTTTGCTGTAACTTTGGATGCAGCTCATGTTTAATGACTGAGGGAGGCTTTGATTCACCATCAGCTCTTCTCTCTCCCCTCATAACCAGGGTTTGTTATGGTTTGTTTTGAATGGACTGATTTCATGGGAGGAAAATTGGGGTTAAGTTAATGAGTTTGAGTATTTTCAAGACACCCTGCGAAACCACTTACCAGAGGTATATTGTGTTCTCATGCATACCGAGAGTGTGTGTTTTGCCACGTGCGTGTTCTTGTGTTTGAGAGCGTGTACAAGTCCCGGTTCAGCAGTGGCTCATGGTGGACAGCCAGAGAGGATTGCGTGAGATTTTTTAACAACGTCTGCTGAGCTTTTCAACAAAAACATTTGATAAACAGATTGTGGAGGTCTATAAACCACCCGTCTGTGTCGGATCCCTGTTCTTGCACAGCCTCTCTGTTTGAGTGTGTGTCTCTCCGGTTCTTCAATGAGTTTGACGCCAGCGGAATGGTGGGCATCCAGAGCCGCCTGTTAAATTACATCTGCACCAAAACCACAGACCTCCATACCAGACGAGCTTCCCTTCCAGCCAGCCAGAAAGTCGACCAACGACCAAACACTGCCCAACCAATACTGCTCACTTTCTCTCCTGTTTGTTTCCTTTAACATCTTTGTCTTTGCTTCCTTCGTTTTAATTAGATTGAGCTTTGAGAGGTGAGCTTTGATTCTTCCTGGCATAGGCTCCGACAACTCATGGCACCATAAACAAGCATAAACAGATACCGCAGACAAACATACACTTATGACTAATCACAATGATTAGAAAAATAGCACAGAAAGTTTGAGAAACACTTTGGTAAATGGTTGTAAAACAAGAATTTGACTGCCTAGCTATGTGGTTGCTAAACAGTCACAGACGACGGCAAAGCTGTAAAACAGACCTGATCTCTGCACACATGGTGGCAATGAACGCACCTTTTTCTAGTACTTGTGAGTTGAAGTCTGCTGTGAACTACCATATTACTCCCAATTCCTGCTCCCAATTAACTACAGTGTATCATTCGGTGTACATTTCAAATTAGAAAATGTCACCTCATGTTTGTGTTACTGCTGTGCATCATTGTAAACTCTCCTCTCACTGTCGCAATCCACACTGGAGTCCATACCTGCAGAGACAAGCAAACCTGTCACATGCACACACACATACAATGATAAAATGAGTATTATATGAAGCAGAGGGGGCAATGAAAGGTGTCATTTGGGTGGCCAAATGCCACGTATTAGTGACTTTTGTTGTATGGTATTTTCAGGTTAATGGAGAGAAATTTTTCACAGCTATGTGCAATTTTCTCTCCTCCTTCTTCATGCCTAATACAAGGGTAACAGTTTTGGCATTTAAACAGGAGCAAACTAAACGTGAGATTACAGTTGGCAATCCCACATGATCACAAAATAACTTCTGACAGTCATCAGTCCGAAGACAGCTGTCAAAAACCAGCTCAGGGGAGAGTTGGGGTGGAAATTTGTGCCATTTTCACACATCATTTGAGCAGTTGAAGGCAGTCCTGGACACCTACAGTTGCTCACTTATGATAAACAAACACGCTAACTATCCTCTGGTGGTTTCCTCTTTGCACCTGACCACGGTTGTGAAAATATTTGGCAGCGGGCGATGTGGTCATTTCTTCCTGAAGCAAATTAAAGTCAACAGATCTGCCTGTCACAGTTTCTGAGAGCCATCTAGAAGGCAAACACTGACCCGACCAAATACTTACCACACAGCAGCAGCAGAGAGCAGGGACATACATAAGCAATATGTGTGTTTGCAACTCATGTTTGGACATATAAAGATTTATGGGACTGTTTTAGTGTAACTTGTCCTGTAGCAGTGCTGGAGATTGTATTCGTCTTTAAAAAATATATTTGGGTCACTTCTAAGCAAGGAACATTTTCTTGGCTTTCTTGGTTTTCTTTGGCCAAAAAGTCAGTGGTTGGCTTGGACAGGGCATACTACGCTTGTAGATGAGGTAGAGACAATGTTAAAAAAAACATTTCTCCTCCACAGTAGAAGAGATTTTATATCAGTGCATTGCTTCAAATAGTTTGTAGTAGATTAATTCACTAGTTTTTGCAGTAGATGCATGTTTCACATGGGTAGTTTTTTCACAAGTGTGTGGTATTGTGTGTAGTGTTTCTCATAGTAGGCTGAGATGAACGAATGCACAATGTCAAGATTTCAAACTGTGCGTGTAAATACCACGTCTGTTTTATCCCATGTGCTGGTGCTGGCCATTGATTTCAGGGAGCTAACATAATCTGTCTAAGATTAGATCAGTCTAAGATTACAAAAATTAAGCCCAGCCAACTGCATATTAACCAATATCTTATATCTCTCCCCTTGTGTTTATACCTCCAGTTCTTTGTGTGACATCTGAAGCCTGGGATGCTGGTGACCATGCTGTTGGCTCCTGTCTGTGTGCTGCTGATGCTGGGGGCGCGAGCTCTTGCTGGAGGCTACCCCCCCATACCCCACATGAAATACATGCAGCCCATGATGAAAGGGCCTATTGGACCCCCATTCAGGGAGGGCAAGGGACATTACGTTGGTGAGTAATCCCTGCGGGTGTAGTATATGTATTTTTATCTCTCACTCTGCCCTGCGTGAGGCCCACAGATCCACTCACTCTCACAACAACCCACTGGTTCAGTGGAAGCACTGGTAACTTCAATATGGTTTATCCCAATTTTAATTAATACTCTTCTCAGTAAGGACATTTTAAATATGGGAAACTGCAAATTAGCAACAACATAAAATACTATTTGACAATTCTCTGTGTCAGTTGTTGTTCCACTTTACTTCCTTTACAGTATCTTGTTTTTCCAAATATCTGAACAAACATGGGCTTGATGTGAATAATATGCACAAGTCCAAAGCTATACAGAGAAATACACTCAAAAACAACTTTTTATGAACAATGTCTCCAGCATCACAGTTTAATATGTGATCAATATGGAGACCCTCCCAGAAACTAGGACAGACATGTGCACTAAAGCCATTGGTTTTCTGCAGGCAGTTAAAGGGCTCACCAAAGTGTCTCCCTGCCCTGTGGGTCCAGCTGCACTTGGCTGGTCCTCAGTTGTGGCCTAATGGAGGCCTGATTACCCACTGCTTGCTGAGCTCCACTGGGCCAGTTGTTCCTTCTGCCATCTGGATGCTGTTACCCCACTGTTTATCACATATTCTTCAGCTGTGGGATGAAGGCGAGAGTGTGAAGAAAATAAAAATAGATTAAATAAAAGGCTCAGCCAAGGGAACTGGGGAAGGGAGGGGGTGATAATCATCCTGAAAAAATGTGCATGTTGTCATCATTATCAAATTTGACTCAAGTTCTGGGTCATATGAGAGGTGCCTTGTCTTATCAGAGGCCCCTTCTTCAAAGCAAATTTTATGTTTGACACAGAAAGACTCCAAAAGTTGGATTCAGAGCAAATTTTGTGTTGAAATTTTGCATTTAAATCCTGCACAGAAACATCAAAGATTTGCTAAAAGAAGTTGTGCTTTCTGTAAATGGGATTTCAAAGTGTGGTTGAAACAAGATTGCGATTTGAAGGAGTAAAACTAATGCCTCCACTGACTCACATGAATACAATGCCTCTACTGCCTCTCGGTGGGCATATGTCCACATTGCATCACATTTGAATAATTTATCAATTATTAATTAACTATATACAGTACATTGTGATAAGATCTACTGTATCGTCGGTAGAATTATAATGTATAAACACAGTCATCTTTAGGAAATAATTTAAAGCATTTGTATAGTACTAAACATATCAAACAAACAGACCACAGCTACAGAATCTCACAACTTTGCATATGGAGTCCTTCTGTCTAGGTCAGTGAGGAGAATGTGGTCATGTGTTTAATAATAGATGTTCAGGAGAAAAGAAAAGACTATATAATGAACAAATGTATCAAATGTTTCGTTCAATATGTTTAATGTACAAAAGGCAAACAGTCATGTATACAAATCTGCTGCTTTTTCTCTTACTTTACTCATTGTACTTAGTCACAACTTCAAGCTTACTAGAGCAGATTTCAATTTTTTTTTTACTGGAACTGTCAGTTCAAATGTGTTTGAAAGCACAATTTACGTCCTTGAATCCTAGAGAGCACTGCAACACGTAATGAAGAAGCTATTATATCCTCTCATGTGTGAAGCACCTTATTTCTTCTCTCTGGGTGATGTATTAAGGTGGTCCACAGCTCCACTGCAGACCACAGCTAAACAAACAAAACTGAGGCTATAATGCTCATTATCTGCCTGAACACATTGGTGAATGTATGCTTGCTATTCCTAGAAAGTTCAGTTTGGGCTGTGGGTGGTACACTGACTGACATAGACAAACCTCAAGTATAGATATATTATTTAAACCATTTATTTGGGGGTGAAACCTAAAGTGAGCACATCTGAAATCTCACTACTGAACAGAACTCTGTACAGTATGGTAAATAGGTCAAAGTTAAAGCTGAAAGTCAGCCAGTGAGCAAAATTGGTATTCATTTTAAGACTTATTTTCCCTTTCCCTTTTCCCAACTTGTTCGTCTGACTGCTTGTGTTCACCCTATTGGGCTTTTCTAGTGCAGGTTTTTGCAATAAAGTTGGTGGGTTAGATGTTAGCATAAACAATATGCCCCAACCACAAAAATAAAACACTCATTGTTAAAACTGGCATTTTACTTTAAGTCAATGTCAGTTTTCCACACATCTCGACTGAACTCATGGTAATGGTCCTAAATCTGGTCCTAATCACATTTAAACCCCCTGCAGAAGTTTGATTTTCAGAACAAATTTTCACTGTTTGACACTGTTTGTGTTTTCTTGAGCTTCATTGTAAATTATCAGTAATTTTGGGCTATATGAATACAATTTGACTTGACTTGACTACAATAACCCATATGCCATTTAGCATCATTGAGCTTTTCTCATCATTGTTTTGGATTTCAAACATTGATGTTAAAACGGCTTCATTTTCATTAACTGCCAGTAGGGGGAAGTAGTGGCCTATGGCAACATTAAAGGATGTAAAAGGAGTTCCAATTCAAATTACCTGGCATCTTTGTTATAAGGAAAGGGAAAAAGTATGTTTTCCCCCTATCTCATTTATTGCTACTCTTGAATAATCTACCTGAGGCATTTCAGTGATCACAATAGTATAATACTGCAGGTGTATTGGCCGTTCCCAGGTTTCAGAGGCCATGCATCACGCTTGTATGTGATTTTAAAGCTTTGAGTAGGCTGGCTGGAGCAGCGGTTGGTTCTTTGATACATTTTTGAAACATCAATACTTGTCATGAATGTTTATATATATATATATATATATATATATTTATATATATAAAATACAAGGTCAGCTGCCTTGACCATCTGACCCACCAACAAGAGTAACAAACACAGGCAAGTTGTTGCTTAGATGAGGCAATGGAGCTGTATAAACCAGCTGAAATTGGCTAGGGGTGCTTGGCGTGTTCTGCAGACCAAACTTGTATTTGTGCTCTTTTGGCCTGGCTGTGTTTGAATTCACTCTGCTAGGAAAGAATAATGAGGCAGTGTATGACATGTGGCATATTTCTTCAGTCTTGTTCCCTCGCTGTTACACAATCGAAAAATTTGCATTTTACAGACACTGTCAAACTCAATAAGACCCCTACATCAGTCAGCTGGAAAACAGAAAAGTTAACTCCGTCCAATTGCAATATTACATAACAACTGCTGAATCCAGGAGCATATAGAGTACTGTTTTATGCAGATTGGAAACCTGTCCAGAATGTACCCTGGCTTTTGCTGTGCTGAAATCAAAAAATTACCATGCCTTTCATAGAAAAGGCCATCAGGTCATGAAAACATGTAAAAGTAAATTCAGAGATCTCTTTCCACACTAGATGTCTTTTGAAAATAAAGTCGTCAGCAATTTCCAAGTTTTATTTTGACATGATTGAAGTTTGAATCTTAATTTCCCAGATAATGGTGTTATGATGTCATGTGTTTCTTGCTACTTAATTCATGATTTCTTATCTTCTTTATCGGACATGTACTGAGACACCCACAGTGTTATATCTACTTTATCTTCTCTCTTTAGTGCCTTAGCAGCTGCTACATTTACTGTCAGCACAAAAAAAATCAGATTTTGAGGATCTAATCTGTCATCTGTCTATTTTGCGCATGCTCCACTGCAACAACACAGTAATTTAATCAAATTGGTTGACTAAGACATTTTAACTTTTTACAGTATGGATTGTTAAAGTAAAGCCAACACATGACTAACTTGGTGCTGGAGCTAACTTTTAAGGACTGATTTATTTATAAGTAACTTTGGAGACTTTGATGAACGATTTGAGACATTTTTGTTGGTGAAAAAGAGGCCAGAAAATGTGTCAGAATCTCTGAAATTTCTCTGCTGTTTTCGTTTTAAAGTGGAATGTGTGTAAACAAATTCATTTGATTATGACAACGCTGAGGCTGAAGATGACACCCTCCTGTCAGTCATTATTAACCAGTTACCAAGGAAGCTGGAGCTAAAACGATGGTTATGTATGCTCCTGAATGTATCTACAGCAGAGAGGATTTTGTAGTGTATTAACTTCCTAAGTATCCCAAAACTAGTCCTGTGTGTATGGTTGATTAACTGTTTTTGTGTGTACACCGATACATCGTGGCCTCCGTACATGATATGTACTTTAAGACCCCATTAAAAACGTTTGCAGTCAAGGAAAATGAAACATTATTTGCTTTTTTCTTTTTTAAAGGGGACCTTTATGTTCAATTCGAGCTCTATATTCTTAGACTCCACTAGAGTAGCTTTGCATGATTCACACTTAAAAAACAAACTTATTTATCCTATATTGTCTGGTCTTTTTCCCTGATATACTGCTGTGCTTCACCTTACAGTGATTCGCAGTGTTTGTTGCTTCATTTATGTTAGCTACTTTAGCTAACCGCTGCTAACAGTGCCTGCTGTTAGCTGGTTAGCCATGCAGCTAGCTTAGCTGTCCTAATAAATTACTCTGCCCGAACAGAGAGCTCAGAGCACCATGGAAAGTGTCTGTGTTTAATGTTAATGTTACATTACTAGTACAGGAGCTTCGGAGCTCCGTTCCCTCGAGCTCCCAGTCAGTTAGCGGTTAGCTAATAGTTCGAGGTTAGCTAATAGCAACTAGTAAAGCTATTTTGTCCATCTTGAAGCAGAAAGGCTGCACGACATCAATGGGAAAACAGAAAATATGTAACTTTTCTTGACAACCGAAAAAACACTATCTGCTAGAAAAATGTTAAGGGTCCTGAACAGAGCAGTCAAATAACTTAGATAGACTGAGCAGATAAATGGGCACATCCCTATACTACTTTGGCATGCTCAGTCATGCTGTGCCTGGATCAGTAAAGTAGAGACAATGAAAATATTGCACAGCAGTCTGAAATTTTAGCTTTTTGCTTGCAGGGATTACTTTGGCATATGTTGACCTTATTATTTGACACTTTGGCCTTAATATCAACATCCGACATTGTAACATTGTAACCCTTTTAAAAGCCAGACAGTATTACCACTAAGAGGCAGTAATGTGTAAAGTCCAGTGTTCCAACCATTTTTAATTTTTAAGAAATTATGAAACAGTCTTGCCTTTTGAGTAGAAACTAGGAATCCGATCCTCCAGTTTAAAAAAAAAAAATCTTTTTGACCTACAGCAATTTTGAATGTGTAGTTTTTGTTTTGCTCAATGTGCATTCATTACACTACACATGTACATATTTATATGTTTACATTTATTTGATCTGTTTTCTACCTCTTTTTTTAAAAATACATTATTATTCACACGATCATCTTCTGTTTTTCTAGATATGCCACCCATGATGGAGGTGAAGGGGGAACCAGGCCCCCAAGGGAAACCTGGATCAAGAGGCCCCCCTGGGCCACCAGGACTTCCAGGAAAACCTGGACTGGGCAAGCCAGGTCTCAATGGTCCACCAGGCCCCCAGGGGCCTTCTGGCTTTCCAGGGATTGGTAAGCCTGGACTTCCAGGTCTCCCAGGAAAGATTGGGCCAAAGGGGGTGCCAGGGCTTAATGGCGAAGTTGGTCCTCGTGGTGAACCAGGCCCCAGAGGTCCTCCAGGGCAGCCCGGTCTTCCTGGCCCAGCTGGCCTATCTCTAAACGGGAAACCTGGACTTCCAGGCATCAAAGGTCCCCCTGGGTCTCGTGGTGAACCAGGAATAAAGGGTATTCCTGGGGCACCAGGTGAGCGTGGATTTAAGGGCGAGAATGGAAATGGGAAGCCAGGGCCTCCAGGTATAAGGGGTCTGCCTGGGATTAAAGGCAGTACAGGCCTACCTGGTAATCCAGGTATAGGCAAACCAGGACTAAAAGGTTTGCCTGGACTGCCTGGTCTTAAAGGTGATCAAGGACTCCCAGGGGATCGGGGAGAACCAGGAGAGGCTGGGTCTCAAGGACTACAGGGTCTGCCAGGGCCAGTTGGGTTAGGGAAGCCTGGGCTAGATGGACTGCCTGGAGGACCCGGTCCAATAGGTCCAAAAGGTGAGTTAGGGCCCAGGGGTTCTCCTGGATTTCCTGGGACTCCTGGCTATGGAAAACCTGGTCTAAGTGGACCAAAAGGAGAAAAGGGCCATGGTGGGTTGCCTGGTCTTCCAGGGGACAAAGGAGAGCAAGGAATGGTGGGCCCAATTGGGGAACCAGGACTTGATGGACAGTCAGGACCACCAGGACTTCAAGGCCCAATGGGCCTCCCAGGAAAACACGGAATGCCAGGACTGAAGGGAGAGATTGGGCCCCAGGGCCCTCCAGGACTGCCTGGCCTCAGAGGTGACCAAGGCCCCAATGGACCCTTTGGAAAACCTGGCATTCCTGGGGAAAAGGGCGGCCCTGGGCCTAATGGCCCTATTGGAAAACCTGGACCCAAAGGTGAGGCAGGGCATATTGGCCTTCCTGGGAATCCAGGACTTACAGGTGCTCCAGGGCCTAAAGGTGAGACAGGGTTTATAGGGACTCCAGGCCCCAGGGGCCAGTCAGGCATTCCTGGTCTCCAGGGGCCCATGGGTCCCATGGGGCCACAGGGTGTACCTGGCCCAAAGGGTGAACCTGGACTTACAGGGCCACCAGGATTGGGTAAGTTTGGAGAGAAGGGAGCAATGGGTCCCCAAGGTCCTCCAGGGAAACCAGGCCCTGTTGGACTTAATGGTAACCCCGGCCTTCCTGGGCCTCCAGGGCCCCCTGGTCCTCCAGGAAATGGCCAAACAGTTGTTGCAGGGCCAACAGATTCACAGTTGGAAGGGGATGAAGTACCAGGGGACCGGAAGGGGCCTGCATACAGTCAAGTTCCACTCTCTGCTTCTGTGGCACCAGCCTTCACAGCCATCCTCACCACACCTTTCCCTCCCTCTGCCATGCCAATCAAATTTGACAGGACCCTGTACAACGGGCAAAATGCCTACAGCTCTACTACCGGCATGTTCACTGCTCCTTTATCTGGTGTCTACTACTTTGCATACCACATGCATGTAAAGGGAACTAGCTTGTGGGTGGCACTGTACAAGAACAATGTACCAGCCACTTACACCTATGATGAATACAAGAAAGGCTACATGGACCAGGCGTCCGGTAGTGCTGTCCTAGAGCTGAAGGAGGGTGACCAGGTATGGGTCCAGATGCCCTCGGATCAGGCAAATGGCCTCTATTCTACCGAGTACATCCACTCCTCCTTCTCAGGATTCCTGCTCTGTCCCACATAACCCGTCCTTCCATTCAAACATATTCCTGTATTGGCACCTCAGAGCAGCCCTAAACCTAAAATACCTGCAGCCATAATAGAAACACAAAACCCATAGGATTCTCAATATTATTGCCATCATCTTTATCTGTCTCACCCTCAACATCTTCAGCGAAAGAAAAAAACTAACTTTGTGAATGAAATATGGAAAGTTTTTAAAGGCAGGGGAAGGAATTTCATACTGTGTTCTTTGTTTCATTGTCATTCAAATGTGTGTTTTGGGTTGTATTTTATGTTGGTGTTTTTTAGCTTATATTATTTTAATTATTATATTGTCATAATTTTATTGTTATTATTTGGTCCTTGTCATCATTGTTGTTGTTGTTTATTGGATTCAGACTATTAAGTGCCTTACTTTGTAATGTGCTAGTAACAGACCTTCCCATGTGACTGCACATCCTGCCCTCATGCTCTGACATCATAAGGACAAGATCACCAGACCCTGGGGGGGTGATTGGTTCCTCTGGCTGCAGTCACGTCCCCCTCGTGTTCTTATTTAAACCGTGAATGGCAATACTGACATAAAAAGCAACAATACAACGTAGAACATATATACAAACAATAGCAAAACAAGGCGTTTGGTGCTGTAATACCATTACTTTTCACGTTTCTTTTGGTTGACCTTTTTAGTACTCTAAACAATTGCTACTTTGAAATTATTAATAGAATTAAATCTTTGTGTTTAGAGTGAGATATATATTTTGACATTTATTTGGCACAAGCATCTGTTGGGTGCTTATTTCTCTGCTTTTCTGTGAATTTAGTAGCTGATCATTTAAAAGTGACGGATCTTTCTTATAATTTATTGAACTGTACAGAAATGCAGTCAAAGAAATACAATCCAAGAATGAATTAAATATGACCTCACAGTATTAGAATTATTCAATTTAAACTGCCCCTTTAAAGAGTATCAACAACATCATGCAAGAACAATGTCTTTTCTTAACTTTCAGGACAATACTAATTGAGGACGATATGTATGCATACAGTCAATGTTTACATGCCATAGAATAGATACTGAGAGAAACTGCAAAATGGACAGTAAGGACACTACCATAGCTGGATCGATGGCCCGTTTCCTTGTATTGATCTGATTTTCCCATTTGCACTGCAAATCCCATCACCAGGTCGCAGGCATCCTCTTCAGATGCTCTGACATCACTGCTTTCTAATGGTATACTACCTATCAATAAATCAGTATCATATTAACATTCCCAGTGAGCAATCTGTAATGCCATACTATACAACCCCCGTTCTGACCATATATCTGTGAAGATGCTGTGAACTCATTTATGTTTAGGAAAATAGGGAGGCAAATTATTGATTATTATTGAAAAAATCCATGTCTTATTTGGAATTATTTGTAGTTCAGAATGACAAGACGTTCTAATAATTCCCAAACCATCATGTCAAAAATAGCTGAATTATTGTTTATTTTTGTGCAACATCCATGTTTTCAAGGCCAAGATGTTGCAGAACCGAATAATTTTAAAATATATAGCTGGAAATGAGAATCGATCTACATTTACTCCATGAATAAGTAAAGGGACTGACTGAGGCCCACAGGTTGTGAAATACAGGTTGTGTAACATTTAACAAACCCCTGCCAGAGGGAGAGGTGGTGGGCCAGAGGTGAGAGAACGTGTATTTACTCATTTCTGTTGGATGAGGCATTAAAGATACTTGCTGTGTGTGTGTGTGTATATGCATGTGCTTGTATGTTCTAGTAGGTGTACCCTTCTGTCTGTCACTGTGTCAATGTGTGTGTGTGTGTGTGTGTGTGTAAAGTTGTGTAGCTGTGTCACATTGTTCCCCTTGCATTCCGGTCATGAGCACTTCAGCAAAGGTAATAACAAACTTGTTGAAGTTATAAAACCTTAGTGAGAGCTTACAGTCCTGTCAATGTTCCACATGAAATCTAACTTCAAAATGTTTCAGCCTCCTTTTGGGTTCATTTCTCTCTAACGGTGCCTTTGCAAAGTAAGGGAAGAAAATGATAAAATAGGTGAATGATGAATGTAATAAATGGATCACGTGAGACAGAGAAACCTGAAATTAAACCGCCATAATGAGATCAGAAGACAACATTTGCTAGACATGAATTACTGGTTAACACTGAACATTTTTTGATATGACCATTTTGCATATTGGTCCAATGAGTGGCATAATGGTGTGCAATAATTTTTGTGTTGTACCAAGTCATGAACAAAATGAACAAAAAAAAAAGACATTCTGGTGACGTGTGCAAGATCTTTTATCAGTGGTTGCAGTTACACATGAGAAGAGATAAAGAGGTTTGGGCAAAACCGAAAACGTTGGTGCTTATATTACTGACTACGTGCCTTTACATTGCCTCGGCTCAGACAGGATTCAAATCTTAACCCTATCATTACACTGAAGTTAGGACTACCTTACACCTTGATGGAGGAATGTCAATGTACAAGAAGATTGTGCCAAATATTGAGCTGTACAGTCAGAATGAATGTATGCTGACTGATTTACAATAGTTCCTATAAATTGTCTACCATAACTAGGGATGGGAATTGATAAGACTTATTGATACCAATACCATGCTTGATCCTGCTTCGAGCCTGATTCTTTGTTGATTCCCATATTGATTCCTGATCTGAAAAAAACACAGGTTAACTGTTTTATTATTTCCGAGTCTGAACACAGTGTAGAAAAAGAGCAGAGCTACAGCGATTCAACTTTCTTTGTAAAATGAGGCCATGCTTTGGAGCACTTCTTTCTCTCCGCCATTACTCTTTCTTTTTGCAAGTTTCCAGCAGTGTAGACACGTGAGTTTGACATCATTGTTTTGCAAGCCTAAGTGTAAAAAAAACATGCTGGCATTGATAAAAGGAACTGACAAGCTTGGCAGCATGCGACTCAAATGGATTGGACTATTTGGAGCTGGTTCTTAATTCCCATCCCTGACCATAACAGATAACACATAAACAGTAACTCTTGAAGTTGCTTTGGAAAAGCAGTGCTAGGATAAGGCCTAATCAGTATTTTACATCTATGTAATTCAAACAATGCACTTGCTCTTGCCCTTTCTGTCTCATAATAACATTTATTTTCATAACACACCTACAACTGCTATCTATCATTATTGTTATGTGAGTCTACAAGGCAGTCCTAGGCTCGTTATGTACTGTATGTTGCCTTTTTTTTTTGTCGCCTTCTATTTTTGGACATATGAAACGGTGATGTGAGTTACATATGGCCATTACTCTCTGTCCTTATGTTTTCATAGACAATGTCACTTGCTTGCAGAGTTTGCCCTGTGTGCAAATCATTTAACAAGTGTCAGTAAGATCCATGTACCGTCGCAATCACAAATTACTTTGAAGTGTTTTTTCTGTTTTTCTTTAAAAAAACAAAACAAACAAAAAAAATATGATTTTTTAAAAAGCCTTGCTTCGGTTCTTAAGGGATATTTGTTTGTTTTAGTTTCAATAAATACAAACGGCCATTCCCATTTGCACATGAAATTAATGAAGATGTATTTATACATTTATGATAATTTAATAGGGATGCCAAAACCGACCACCGAAGCCTAGAACGTATAAATGGTATTTAACAGCATTGATGAGTTAAGAGCATTTACAACATGTAGTTAGCATTCTAGCGTTGTTTGTGAAGGATTATTTGTGGACTTTTACTTTCTATTTGTGTAATGTTCAATGTATCAACTTATAGGATTTTTGTCATACAAGGCTATTGCGTGCACTCTATGCAATAGAATTTGGGTATAAAATGCACTCTTTTTGATTGAAAATGTTTGTCTGCTTATACAAAATCTACAGTACTTGATTGTATTGATACCACATCAATAAAAAAATCTTTCTTGTATGCTGGTGTCAGGCTCCCATTTCTGTCCACTGTATCTGCATGTGGTCATTGTAAGGAAAATGTAAAATCACTGTAATCCTCACTACCACAGCTCCCAATTTTGTATTGCTATTAGTAGTATTAGCTATATTAGTAGCCCCTGAGTAGTTGTAGTAAATCATTTTCTATGTAAAGAGATCTGCATGGCACATTTGGAGTAGTAAGGTAGAAGGAAGTAGAAGGAATGAACACTAGAGGGAGATATACAGTTGTTGTGGACAGTATTTCAGGCCTCTACATTTTGAGAGCCTTGTCTGATCTGCTCCAAGCAAGCTAAGAGTTGCATTGACAGGCTTTTGTTTGCAAGTTCATATCACTTTGATAACAAATGTGACAGACACTTGCAATGTCCATTTATTCTAGGTTCCAATCCCAAAAGGTGTTAACTTAAAATGAATATATACAGGCTATAATATCAATCTTTGTATTGGTTTGCCATGTTGCGTCTATGCCATCCTAAGAGCAGCAAATCATGTGTGTAACTTTATGGTGCTAGATAGTGATGGTACGATGATGAGGTTTTGCTGATACTGGGCATCCATCTAAAGTATGTGGCTTGAACATAGATGTATCTGATATATAGCCTTTTTGTAAATCCATACACACAAACACACTCTTAGAGATAATAAATGAAATGTTAGATTAATAAAAGGAGACCCACCCTGCCTATAACCTGCATGACCTCTGGTGTCCATTAACGCTGCTAGAAATGTAATTGGATACACACAACAGATAAAGTGTGTGTCGTAAAACAACCCATGAGCGGAGGGATAATATCGTGCGGCTATTTTCTGGAACTGTCGTCACCATGGTGAGCTGTCATCGTGCACCCGGATTCTTCTTACGTCGTATTGACGCCAGACCTTCCGTGCTGCATTCGGGTGATCCCGCTAAACTTCTACATCTAGCTGGAGTACTTGAGAAGCGCCTGCTGTTGTAAAGGGATGTAACAGCTGTCGGTTTAATTGGCCTGTTGTTTTATGGAAATTAATTAAGCGACAATTGAGCCATAGTGTGTTACAGCAGGGGAGCGAATGGAGAACATCAAACAAATGTTGCCACGTTTTAACCTCATAACTCTCACAAAGACCATGTGGTTGGAAACGTTTGGAGAATGTTTATTTACTCGTTTGGTTTAACATAAATTGTTCACTAGTCTGCACCTCGCAGTGGTGGCGTTCTCAAAATTACAAAAGCACATGTACACTCGACTCGTATGCTGTAGAGATTTCCCCGTTGTTTCTCACTCTGTGGACCCGATGTTAACTTGGGCTGCCTAGTAAGTCGAATATCCGACCGTCCCTGAAGGTGTCCACGCCGAGGAGGCTCCTCCCCAACAACAGTTCCCGACCTCCGACGAGAATTCAAGCTGCCACATTGAAGAGGAACAAAAAGGCGACCTGGCAGCGGTTTCTACACTCCCTCCACTTTCTCCGGGGTAGTCACGGGATTTCAATGTTCAGCCTGCTCTTTGTAAGTAGCTAATAACCTAACTAACTAAAAACTGTCCTTTTGGAACTTGTCTCTGATGTGACGGTACACGATTGCAACAGCACACATCCGCAAGAGCCTGGTTAAAAGTTGGGCTGCATATTGTTAGACGATCAGAGAGACACAAGGGAGCTGAAGTAAGTTACATGAGTGGCTGTCTGAGTAGACGAGCCAGTGTGTAGCTACATTAACGTTAGCTCGCAGACCAAAGCTTGGACGGCTATAACGTGGGCTAACGTACAATGTTGAAAATGGTGTTAACGCGTGTCAATACCAACCCTCATTGTTTTGCCAGTCGGTGTAACCCAAGTGAGTTGTTGGCGTATCCCTGTACTAGTTGCTAAACGTTGCTGGGAAATGCAAAGTGACCGAGCTGAGGTAGCTTGCTAGCTAATGTAGCTGCGCTAGCTTGCTATCAGGGCTAAAGCTATTTCTAACGTTAATTAAGAAGAAAAAGCGGCGACTAACGTTGCAAACAGCAGTATCGCTACGCGGTCACTGGCTTTAATTGTTGTTCTGAAGCACGGCACATTACAAGGCGGGTTATTACACAGACTGTCGTCCGCAATCTCCTGAGCTGAGAGCTAGCGTTACCCGCAGCTATACAATGAGCGCTCGGTGTGTCAGTGAAGGCAGCATTTCTCATGGACAACATCTCGCTGTACGTGAACGATGCGTAACGTTTAAACTGCTGTGTTGGCTGCTGTTCACTACTACTGCTGCACTGTTTGAATGTTTAAAATATAACCGGTGTTTGTGGTTTGCAGTCATTTTCCCAGCTTCTTTTGCTTGTTTTTTTTTTAACGGTGGTCTCGGACGTCGGTAGTTGTGAGAAGCTGTGCTAGAGATAGATGGCGACTGAGCTAGCTAGCTGCCTTCCGCCCTTTGTGACAAATCTTGACCCAGAGTTTGGTTGACCTGTTTATTTGAAGCCATAAGCCGCGCTAACATTTTAATAACAAATCCAAAGTGGTCGGCAACCCGATATTTCCTGTATGTCGGTTGCCTTGGGTGCTCGTCTTGTATTGTCCAACTACAGTCATTATTGTTAACCAGCCGGGTTTGACTCAGTAAATTCGCCAGCCTTCCGTGTATAAATGTAGCTAACACTGGGGTTAGGTGGGGTCTATAATTTAGCCGTGTCTGGTTTCCGAAAACAGAAAGCACCCAAGCATTTAGCCGTGTTGGATATGAAGTGAAATGAGGAAATGCACTTGGGGAGGAAGTTGAGTAGAGCAGCTGTGGCACTAAAGGCCGCAGCACATTCCCATGCCTCTCAGTTTTCAATTTATGACCTTCCAGTGGTTTCAGCCTCCTCACTGATAATACTTTCTAGTGGACAGTTAATACAAATGAATAGCTTTTGAACACTCCTACCAACATGGGTGGATGAGTCAATGAGTAACTGGTGTAACAGGTAAGCTAATTATACATTCCTGCTCGTGAGTCACTGCAAGGTGACCTAATTTGCCTGCAGCGAGACGATGGGATGAGTTAATACAATAAGTCAAAACAAACCGAGAACATAGGAATGTATAGTGGAAGTAACGTAATTGATTCTTGGGTGGAGCCAGTTCTTGTGTTTTCTTCCACGAAAATCACATAATTGTGCAGCAAGGGCAGGCTCAAACTGTGCCACTTTGGGGTTATGCTGGCAGCAATGACACACGCTTGCTTCTTAAAAAGAGTGGGATTTTCACAACTCTTACAGAATAGCACTTCGAGTCTTTATGCTCTATTTGCATTTTATCGTGAAAGTAGGTCACTCATACTGGTGACCTGCTTTATATTATGGCTAATTGACACATGATGCACAGCCCAATCTAGAAATAGCATAGCTCCTCTCAGTCCACTTAGAGCCGAGCCTGCAGCCAAAGGCAGGCCTGTACAGTGGAAAGCTCTCATTCATCAGATTCCACGGGGCGAGTCGAACTTGCTGCTTGCTGTGAGTCCAGCCTGTATGAGCAGTGTTCCTTTTTTTTATTTCGCTGCTTTTTGTGTTGTACTTGGAACAAGAAACATTCGTAATTTCTCGTAATTTGTCTGTAATACCTCAGTAAAAAGTTGCAGAACGTGGAGGAAATCGTAGCTAAAATTGGATCCACAGTAAGGAAGTAATATTGTTGTGTTTTGGGAAGGGGTAGTACTAGAACCTTTTTAGAAGTGTGACTGACCGGCATCGTCTGTAAATTTGCATCGCATGTTCTGCTTAATGATGGCGCATAACTTTAGTGTATGTTAAGATTGATGCGTGCTGTAGAAGGTGTAAACCTAGCACCATGCTGAAATGATATTTTGCACCAGCAAAAGGGTGGTTCCGCTATCTACAGGCAGTATTCAAAAAAGCCAATGTGACAAGGGAAGTTCTCAGCCTTGGTTACCGTAACTGTGAAAGGCGAGCCCAGTGTAGAGTAACATGACGCCAACTTACCAAGGAGGTTACTGGGGGAGAAGAACACCTATGTTGTAGCCTGCTGGCAGTCAGCCCACCTAGCCACAGGGTGGCTGTGAGTGTTGAAAGGTGGGGTTGAAGAGGTCCGCTCCTCACTGACTGGCTTAACAGATTTGGCCAATTTAAAATCTAGTTTTGCCCCTGGGTGTCTGGCTGTGGTGGGAGTGGAACACAAGCTTTGGTTTCTGCTATGTGTTCACTTGCTAAGATCCCTGGCTGCAGGGCAGTTTTGTTGTGTTGAAATCGTCCCAAAGTGGAAAGCTAGGATTAGACGCACGCACCTTTCTCCTCTTATTTCAAGTGAAAAGCCATAAACAATTATGTATCAGTAGCCATGGGCACCTTGTGTGTTTCGTGTGCTGTGTATTGGTTAATGAATCATGCCCCGGTCGGCACGGTGTTCGTTTACTGTTGTTGCCACAGCGCTGGGCTGAAGCAAAAGCACAGGCTTATGAGCACTGGCAGTGTCTGACAGATTGACACCTCTTCTAGATGCTGCTGCAGTGCTGCCTACTGAAACTATAGCAACAGGTAGGAATAGGATCTTGCTTTGTTATTTGTGTTTACAGCTACCTTGTCAAGCTGCAGCTGCCAGAGCTGCAGTTAGCAGGGGAAACACTGTCCATTGCCAAACACGCTATAGTAAAAGGTGTTGGTATTGTTATTAGAGCTGTTGTTTGTAGGTGTGTGTGTCGCTGCTCACTCTTACTGATCCAGAAAGTGTTGTAGTTTTTGAAGCAGCTATAGTATAGAACATGCTGGGTTACTGCGTATAAAAACAAGCGTGCTGTGTTTTCCTATTGCCTAGGCAGTGTTTTCTCAGTGGAGCTTGGCTTTTTCTTAATTTCCTTTAAGCAGCTTATTAAACACATGCAATGTGTGAGTACCTCTCACAACATGACCCTAAACTAATGTGTTCATTGTGACCATAATCTTAAAAAGATGGATTTGCTACCAAAAGCTGATCTATGATCAAAGGGTATATGTTTATGCTCTGGTAAGGAAGTTGGATTTCGTA